AATGTCATAGATTAAAGTATCTACCAAGTGGATTGTCATCTTGCACTGCTCTTGAAGAGTTGTGCATATATGATTGCAGAAATCTGGTCTCCATTCTAAAAGAACTGAAGGAATTGCGTTCTCTTGTTAAATTAGACATTTCAAGCTGTCAAAAATTGAGGAGCTTCCCAAAGGACAGCCTTGGATGCCTTAATCGCTTGAAGAGCTTGTCAATTGGCGGATTCTCAGAAGAAATGGAGGAATTCCCAGATCTGAGTTCCATCAACGCCTCCCTTGAAATGTTGAAATTGGAGGATTGGAGAACGGGTCAGTGGCTGCATCAAATTCAACGCTTTACTGCTTTAAAAGAGTTGGGTATAGTGGATCACATTGATGACGTGGAAGCACTGTCAGATGTATTGGAAAAACTCTCCTCTCTTACAAGCCTCCGCATTTGGCGCTGCGACGACTTGATCTCTCTTCCACAAGGACTGAACAAGTTGCCCCATCTCAGGACACTCGGAATTTTTAACTGCTATAACCTGACATCTCTCTCAGAAGATTTAAAGGAATTGCGTTCTCTTATTACATTACGTGTTTTATGGTGTCGGCAATTGAGGAGCTTCCCAGGGGAGATCCTTGGCTGCCTTACTAGCTTGAAGAGATTGGGGATTGGTCACTTCTCAGAAGAGCTGGAGGAATTCCCAGGACTGAGTTCCATCCATGATGGCCTTGAAGCGCTGGATTTGTTTGGATGGGACAAACTAAGTCAGCTACCTGATCAAATTCAACACCTTACGGCTCTCAAGGAGTTGACCATAGTGTCCTTTAAACAAGTGGTGGCTTTGCCAGAGTGGGTGGGAAACTTTTCTTCTCTTCAATGTCTCCGGATCTACTCTTGCGATAATATGAAACAACTGCCTTCCACGGCAGCCATTGGACGCCTCTCCAAACTGCAGGAGCTTTCTATTTCGCGTTGCCCAGAGTTAAAAGAGAGATGCGCCAAGAAACGCGGTTGTGAGTGGTCCAAGATTTCCCACATTCCACAAATCCGAATTACATAAGCAAAGACTGAGGCTTGAAAAAGGTATGTATGTTCCATTCCGTTACAAATTCCC